GATGGTCTAGATGTGTTCATGCAATGTAAAACTACTTTAACCTCACCACATATTCAGAGGTTTAGTTTTTTTAGCTTTCATTTGGTAACTGTGAGTATTATTTGACAGAGTACAATCTTGTTTATTATTCTTTTGTTAACATTCATGTTTTTGTTATCTATTAGACTGTTATTTGTAAGTAATTAGCTTCATCTATTTTTGTGTATGGTCTTTTAAAAAGAACTTTTGTTTAACCCAACCACACATTTTTATTCCTGCCCCATGTCAGCAACCTAGTCGGTTGTTGTCTTATGTCATACATTAATATTTCTTGGTTATTTGGTGAATTGGTGTTGATGGCAAATCTTTGATAATTTCTGTTTAATTTCTTCAAAATTTTATTTGACTCAGTACAATTTAGAGCTCGATATATTGAATAGAATATCTTTTGGTGAAGACTGTATGTTTGTATCAAGTTTCTGTCTCTTTGCCTAATAGAAATCTAGTATTAAAGTTTCATCAGAAAAGCTTTGGTTAACCCTTATGTTTTTCATTTTAAAAATTTCTTAAAAGTTAAAATTTCTGAGAAACTGCTGGACAGCAAAGCTCAAATAACAAGAATAGGTCTCCATGGGACAACATGCACTGCTAACTTATAATCACATTTACATGAACCACAAAATCTGGATCAAAACCCCACTTTGGCAGATATTTCTTTAAAGTCCACATCATAATGAACATGTGTACTAAATTGTATACATTCATGCCAAACTAACTTAAACCAGAACTTAAATGACCAGTAAACAAAATCTGCATTAAAAAAAAATGGAATTCTGAATATACTTTTAAAAATTCAAATCATAAAAAAATATTTATTTATTAGTTGAAATTGGGGTTTGAACTAGCTTTCAGTAAGTGTGAAAGCTACTCTCAGATTGGCACTTTGCTTACTTTGTCATTCTGTTATTTGTTTTGTTTGTAATTAGTATCAATCTGATTGGTCAGAGCCAACTAATTTTTACAGTTTTCTATAATGCTGTGCAATTTTCCAGGTTAGACCGAGGATAAAGCACTCCCAAACATGTTTAACCAAGCTTTATTTTTTATGTGCCTGTCAAAAGTCAGGAGCTTGTAATCCAGTGGTTGTCTTTGGTTGCTGTCTGTCAAAATTGTTTTTCCTTTTTTTTTTTGCTTTTAGCATAAATCAGGCTGTTTGTTTTCTCTTTTTAATTGATTCTCATTTTGTCATGCCAAGGCCTTTTGTAGCTTACTATACAGTTTGCTCATTGTTGAAGGATGTGTGGTGACTTGTAGTTGTTATCATCCCCATCCTGTGGTCTCTGCTGGATAGCTGTCTCATTAATATTCATACCACATCCTTATTTCTATTTTTATTCTGGGGTATTGCATTACAATGTTCCCTCCTGGCAGGACCATTGGATGAGTTACACTTATAAGGGACAATCATTTTATCATAAGGGAGGTCTGGTGAATTTTTAATTCAAATTTGGAAAGACTAGTTGTTATTTTCAATTTTGATAATTAATCAGATAAAATTATTATTTTACAATGCAAATATTTTCTAAAGTACTTCAAGTTAACCCTGAAGAATAATAACTTTTTTTGTTTACCATAAACTAATATTTTCAAGCAATTATCTTTGTCCTAGGGCCAAACCTTCTGCACAAACTGTTCAACCAAGACAAATCTCCCACAACTTAATCTGTAAATTCTTATGATATGACTATATATACCAAATATCTAATCACTTGATTCAGGCATGACAGCGAAAACTGTAAAATTCATATTTCTAAAGATTTTTTCTTTGTTCCACAAAAGTCACTCAAACAAAACAAACTGTAACTTCTAATGATATGACATTATACCAAATATTTCATTAATAGATAGAAGCATTACATAACAGTGCAGAAAACTCATCAGACAGACAGATGGATGAATGGAAGGACTGACGAACGAAGACTGACCAATAGACAGAGCACAAACCCATCGTGAGTTCCTTTGGCTTCTTCTGTACGATTTTTTAAGAAGGGACAGGACTGGGGTAGATAAGAGGCATAAAAACATACATGGTAATAACTGTTGAAGGCTGTACGGTTGCCTATATGTGCTGACATCCACTTCATTAGAACTTTGGTGGATAGTTGTCTAATTGGAAATCATACCACATCTCCTTATTTTATTTTGACATTTATTCAACTGAATAAGAAACATCAAATATCCTTATTACAAATGTATAATTGACTTATTAATTAAAAGTTAAAATTGTGATACACAAAGACAACAACATCCTAGATTACTGCAAGGAAATTCTTTATTCTGGTCTACATGTTTCGCCACTTACGGTGGCGTCTTCAGGACAATTCAATGATAGGAAACAAATACTGAAGTACATAAAATGCGGTGCATATGGGGTTACAAAGGTTAACAAGACGTTACGTCACAATAATAGGTTTGAGGACGTTAAAATGAAAGTGAAAGTAAAAGTTAATAATGAATTGTCAGTATCTTTTCCAAAATAGAAAACACCTCACAGGACATTCCGTACCATTTGGACCATATGCACCGCATTTTATGTACTTCAGTATTTGTTTCCTATCATTGAATTGTTCTGAAGACGCCACCGTAAGTGGCGAAACATGTAGAACAGAATAAAGAATTTCCTTGCAGTAATCTAGGATGTTGTTGTCTTTGTGTATCATTATTTTCCCAAGGTTTTAAGACAACCGCAGCATACTTTCGGGTATCCATCCTTATTACTCTACCAGCTTGTACCGTTAGAAGGTGTTGGTTCACTCGACTCATCAAAAGTTAAAATTGATTGGGATCATTGGCATCTTGGAAATGTAATACATATGCCTTCACTTCCAAAAACCTCTTTGTTTGCAGGTGAGATTAAGAAGCATAACAACAAATTTAACATTTATGCAATCATATAGCGAAATTGCAAACAAGCAAAGATATACATAGTAAATTAAAGCAATAGCTTGACCAATATTGAAATGTGATAAAAACTGCTTTTTTAGTGATTAGATATAGCATTTTATACATGCAATTATACAACTATTGATGCTGCCATTTAAAAAAAAATAGCTTTTCCATAACTGTAAAGAGCAAACACACAGACAGTAAACTCTAAAATTTTCTAAACATAACATTCTAAAGACACTATATGCAGAAAAGCATGTTTTCTGTATTATCTATTTATTATTCCCACATACTCCTCTTCAATATAAAAAAAGTACACTTAAGGATTTTTGCTTATTATGGATTCATTATTATTGGGTACAGGGGTACCACGAATGTTCAATAAATTACAAATTTTCTATAAGAATATGTATGCATTAATTTATAAAACCACGAAATCAAATATCCACGAAAATGCACTTTTACCTCAATTAACGAAAATTGGTACCCATGAAGATAAATGAATCCACAGTATATTTTCACCTTTTCCCTAACATTTTGTAATCTCTGACTTTTTCCTATGCTATGTAATAATTTAACTTAAGAACTATAAAATATCTTAATATTTTAAACAATTTACATATCAAATACTCTTTTATAGAAAAATATTTTGAAATTCTAGTTATTTCTAACCCATTTTTTTCATAAAATTTATCATTAGTTTATTCAATTGATTTAATATGAAAAATCTAGAGATCCTCTTCATGCCAAAAAATCTAATATATCTATAAAAAAAAACAAACATAAAAACACACACCTATATTTCATTTTTATATAATTTTGATGCACACTAAATACATCAATGAAAAAAGACAACATTCATGAAAATTTTGAATTTCTACCACAAATATCTTTTATATAAAAATAAGTAGATGTGATATGATTGCCAATAAGACAACTATCATCCAGAGTTCAAGTTACATGGATATTTATAAGCAATCAGGTCAATTTAAGTGGCTCTTATGAATTTGTTTTAAAAGGTGTGAGCATCAAGATGAAGAAGAGCAACTACAATGTCATTCTTTACTGGTTGTTTTTCATGTGATTGTTGTGTATACATGTTAATCCATTTCCCTTCTTTTCCAATAGAGGATTAGTACTATGAAAAGAAAATAAAATATTTAAAGACAGTATCCCAATGACACATATAACCAATAGAAATATTTGTTTAAGGACAGCACTTTAATATTTGTTGTTATCAGAATGGCCTCAGTTAAGCCGTTCATTTATTTCTAGAACTAGATCAGTTTGTTGTTGGCAGACCAGGTTACTCAAAATCATTGCTAAATGCTGGTATTGTTCTTTGTTATGATTGTATAACTATATGCTATCCCTTATAAAATGGTCAACTAAGAAACAATAAGCAGTTAGAGGGGTCATAAAGGAAAACAGAATTAAGGGAATCTTAAAGACAAGAGTCACAAGACCCGCATTTTAGTACTTAAACTAGACTCCTTTTGAAGGGATCTTCCAATCATAAGGAGAAAGATAGATGACAGAAGATGCAAAGTAATGGCAATAGTCCAAATGGCCCTTGGGATTGGTAAGCTATAAATAAAATAAGTTCTAGGGATTTTATTTGTACCAACAGTCAGGATTGGCACTTCTTTTAGGTCTTTTCCTTATGTTTCGAAACTTCAATATTTGTTTTTGGTTTCAGATTTCCAAATATATTGGCCTAAAACATCAATGATGAGAAATTATTTGTCTAACTACACATTACCCACAAAATTGCCACAATGATAATTTCATTATTATTCAATAGACAGATTGATGAACCACTTAAAAATTGCCTTAAATTTCATTGAAGTGTGGGATATAAATATACAATACAGTTTCCTAATTTGCAAAACCTACAGATTAAACTATGCAAAATTATATTAAAGGCAAGAATGTTCTGAACATAAGCAAATCACATGCTAAACAAAGTCATAGGCACAACAGTTAATTTGGCAAGAAAAATTTCCATATATGTTTTGCTGCAGTAATTAAAGTTCCAAGTAAAGCACAGCTGAAGAATTATTTTTTTTTTTTACCTCCGAAAGGTGAAAATTTCTTCTTTCTTGGAGGAGTTTTAGACCTTAATGGTATTTTGTTAAGTTCAGGAGGTTCTTTTGTTTTCAATGAGTTTTCAGTTTCCGATAGTTTTTTGTCAATATTATCTGGTTCTCCAATATTCCCACAAACCTCTTTTGCAAAATTTAAATGATCAAACATGCTTGGTTTTTTCGGAGATTTCGGCGAATGTTTTTTGCTAAAACTAGCTTTTCTAATTGGGCTGTCATTATTTTTACTTTCCGATTCCTTTCCAGTTTCAGTCTTTTTCTTATATGTCTCATTCACTAATGTTTCAATTTCATTTTTTTCCTTTCCATTAATGATATCTTCAGTTTTAGTAAATTCAGATGCACCTGCTAATTCGCTTGTCCTTTTTACAGGTGATAAACTTTTTGAACTAGACTGAGAATCTACTTTTGATGAATCAATATTTAAACTCATACTTCTTTTGATCATAAACTTTTTTGTAGAATTTTCTGATTTCTGGTTATGTTCACTATTGCTTTTCCCTAATTTGTCCTTTTTGATAAAAGGATTATCTTTCAAATGAGGTAATTTGTACTCCTCATCTTCTCCACTGGTTGGATCTTTTCCTTCTTCGTCAACTTTAGCAACTCCTTGTTTAGTTTTTACATGTTTAGGATTCTGTTGACATAGCCTTGGTTCAGACTTTGGCAACACTTTGCCATTCGTTTTACTTTTATCCGAACTAACCATTTTTCCCTTGGTCTTTATTTCAGCAGTATGGTTATTAGGACTCGTCTTGCCTGGAGTACCTTTGAAATTGTCATTTTTAGCTAGAATAATTGCCTTTTCAGGAGGAGGAGATTTTTTAGGCGATGATAATCGTTTCAACTTTTGCATGCCATTATTTTCAATTACTTCAGTGTTATCATATACTGTATTTCCTGGTCCTGTTGCTAACAAGCAATCTGAAGAACTTAAATTTTCCTTGTTGGTTTTTTCATAGAGTAAGTCAGTAACTTCTAGCTTTTTAGGTTTCTGAATTTTCTTCAAACTGGTTGTTTCTTTCTTAATTATTTTGGAATGATCTTTTCCATCTACTAAAGTTGTCTTGCTCAGTTCAGAATAATCATTTCCATTCACTGAGCTTGTCTTGCACGTTTTCGAATGATTATTTTCAACTACTGAAGTTGTCTTGCTTATTTTTGTATGATCTTTTTCATCTATTGATGTTGTATCTACATTTGATGATGGTTGGGTTGTTAAAGGAGATTGTAAATGTATTTCAGCAATCTGTTCACATCTGGTAAAGTATGTTTGTTTTAAAACATCAATTAATACTCCCTGACAAGATTGACAAAGTTTTTCTCTAAGAGCATTAACAAGAGTATCTGTAAAACCACTATCAGAAGCTTTAAGGTCAAGCGGAACACTTTCTAATAACTTTGAATCGTCATGTACTTCTTCTTTTTCACAACTTCTCGCATTATTTTCACAAAATGTCTCTGTCTTGAAAAGTTTTGTTTTTTCATCTATATTATCAGTTTTTTCAATGGTTATGAGGTTAGAAAGTTGCTCTTCTTCATTCTTTTCAAATGTCATGTCTTTCGACTGAGTTTTCATAACTTGTTGACTAGAAATATCAACACAATGATTTGGCATGCCCTTTGATAAATTTTCTCTTTCATTCATTGCTTCTAAATTTTCTCTTGTGTTCATTGATTCATCATTTTGACCAAACTGATTGCTATCCACAAACTTCTTGTTTGCCACCTTTTCTCCTTGTTGTGGATACTTTTCACTAGGGTACAAATTGTTTTCTATCCACTGATTCACATTTTCCACCCTTTGTTTATCAACTGGAGGAGCTTTCTTCCTTTTCATTCTAACTTTAGAGGCAGCACAAACATAAACAAATTGTTCTTTTCTTTCAGTTTCATTTTGGATTTCATTTTCCTTCCACGCCTCCCCAAATAGTTCAGTTGGTAAAGCCTCATAGAATTCTTCATATTCTGAGCCTCCACTAATTGTATTATCAGAAGCAGTTTCATAATTGTCTGTACTCATGCCACTTAATTCATCAGATATTTTCCTTTTTTTAGAATCAGTTTCTGTAATTATGTCCTCATTTTCAAAAGATGCATAGTTGTCTTCATGTATAACATTAAGATCTGAGAGTGGGTCAGAAATTATTTCCCAATCATCAGCTACTGGAGTTTTCTCCCCTGAGCTTTGAGATTTATTATCATCAAGTATTACACTGCTGACTGGAGATGCCTCACTTTTGTGATCAAATGGATGAAAAATGGTGTCAAATAAATTTTTTAGTTTTGAGCGACTTTTTGGACTTTCATCAACTGAGTCTGATTTTTCAATATTTTCACTTGGTATTTTTTCTTCTTTCTTTTTGTCTTTATTTCCAACATCTTTCACACTAGCCTTTTTAACTTTTTCACTTGACTTGCTGAAATCTGTTTTGTTTTCTTTTTTATTGCTTGTGACTTGTTTTTTGTCTTTATTGTCAATTTTTTCTTTGCCTTTTGTTTCCATTTGCTTAGATTCTTTTACTTTTTCTTGATTTGTCTTCACATCCTTTTTAGTTTTTTTAAATAGTTCACTTGGATGTGAAACAATAAGTTTTGTAGTATCTGAATTATTTCCCTTTTTCACTTTCTTCTTGTTTTTCTTCTTCTTTGAATTGTTTAAGGAAGTGCTATTTGTCATCGATTTATTATCCGTTTCATCAGAGGACTTTTTCTCTGTATCTTTACAGATGTTTTCATCAATAGTCTCTTCATCTCCTTTTTGGTTTTGATTTGGCGATTTAGTATCAAAATCGGAATCAGTATGGTTTTCCTGATCTCCAGATAAAACCATATTTCCATCTGTAATGGTTTTATCCATAACATTGTCATTACCATGTTCCTTTTCTTGAGTATTGTCACAAACCAAGACTTGACCAACTTCAACCTGACATGAACTACTAAATGTTACCTCTTCCTCTAAAGTATCACAATTGTCTCCTTCACTTTGAACATTTGATAAATCTCCATCAATAATGGTGTCTGGAGTTAATGTCTCATTTGAATACTGCATATCATTTTCATCATTTGTAAGAAATTCTGATGAAATTTCACCCATTATTTTTGATATTTCAAATGACACTCCACTGTCGTCAGATTCTTTCATATAGTCTTTTGTGTATTTAGTGTCTGTGTTCAAACATTCACTATTACTTTTCATATTATCTAAGTCTACAGACCTGCTTCTAGTATATTGAAATGTAGAATCACCTAAAGAGGTCTGAATACCACTGCTTGAATAATTCCTAGATCTACTTTGAATGCCTTCAATTTTACTTTCATTTTGGTCTTGTGTTCTGCTGTATTTGGAGAGGACGGATTGTCTAAAAGGCTGTTGTTTTTCTTCTGAATCGACAGAGGAATAATTGCTTCCTGAGACATAAACTTTTTTTCCATCCGAATTTCTGCTCAGCAACGTAGCTCGCCTACCTTCATAGCCACTTTCTCCAGCATCTGATCGAGAACGAGAAATACTTGTCCTTGAACCTGTTAAAGTATCTCTAGCTCTTCTTCGTGGAACAGTTGACTGACTATTGCTAAACATTGTAGTTTCAGTCTTTTTCCCAAACAAATCATTTATTCTGCTTAATGCATCTTGTGATATTCCAGTAGGTCCTAATGATGTTTTTCTAACATTAGAATTTTCACTTTCATATTTGTTATATAGGGGAATTGATTGTTCCTTTCTAGAGTAAGGCAATGTTCTATACCGAGAATGATAACTTTCATCAGAATTACCATAGGTTCTTGATAAAATTTTGTCCATAGCCTGAATTCGACCATAACTTGAATTTCTTTCTGATTCAGATGTATTTCTTTCATCATTATCATAATTAAGAAAATCAGCTGTATTTGTAAATTGAGGAAAGTCTGAGGATATGTCAGTTTCATGATTAAATGAATTATCACTTTCATTGTATTGTTTTGTTTCCATTTCAAAATATCCAACATTACTAGCATCTAATAAATCATCCTCTTCTTCTTTTTGCATAGTGTAAGGTGAATGTGTATGATCAACACTGTTAGTGTCATCTTCATGCCCAAAATTATGTAAAGATTCAGTATTTTCAGACTGGGTATTTGTTGAAAAACTCCCATTTATTTTCGCACCAACATGACTTTCTGTTACAATATTGAGCCTATCAGAGTCTGTTGTTATATGATTTTTAAGAATTTCTTCATTTGTGGTAATTTTTGTTGATGATTTTAAATTCCTTTCACTATGATCAGATGAATACAAAACTTCTGACGATGTTACAGATGATTCCATATTATTTGATTCGGATCGATAAATTTTACTTCCAACATCTTCTGTGCCACCCAATTCATTACTTTCAGGTGTTTTTGATACTATATCATTTATTTCATCAGTATTGAAATGTTTAATCTCACTATTTTTCTTGGGTTGAAGCTCATGTTCATTACTTATATTTACATTACTATGGTCAGAATCACATGTATTATGTTTAACAATGGAAACTTCATTGGGGCGATCATCTTCAACAAATTTTTCCAGTGAATTGTGATGAACAATTCCTTCCAAATGATTATTTTGGTCAAGCAATACCACATCTTTATCTATTCCTTGTGAAGACTTTATTTCAGTTCCTTTTGACATTAAAGACCCAGATCTTGATTGATATCTTCCACTTCTTGGAATTGTGTTGCGCTTATAATCGGATGAGGGTGTGGTATCAAACAAACTGTCCAATCTCTTCATACTTTCACTGACCATGTTTTGAACCCTTTGATGACTTGCTGCATTTGATACAGGAGTAGATTTTCTTGCAGAGAAATTTTCATCTTTAACTTCAGATCGATGAATAAATAATTTTGAAGAATCTATATTGCCAGATTTTCTAGTATACATTGGTAAGCTTCGATGCAAAACTGGTTCATCTTTTTCTTGGACATTTGCCAAGCTTTGGATACCTAATAAGGAGCGTCTAAAATTCTCTATATCATCCTCATCTTCTGACACTGATGTATTTGCTGCTGATTCTGAGAAACGTGTATTAAAATTTGTGTTATTACCATAACCCTCTGTTGCATTGTTAAATGAAGCTGATTGATTTGATAGGATTTCAGTCTCACTCTGTGAACGTAACAATGGAGATGATAGACTTTCATCTGTGTTTGTTAATGATGATGACCTTTCTCTTCCACCATAATCCTCTAACTGTTGAGATGAATCAGTTTTATTTAATGATGAACTTAATTCCAAATTCTTTGGTCTTGCACCTCCATAACGACTGGATAAACTTCCTTGAGACATACTCAAAGTATTGGATCCTCTACCTTCTGCTAATGTTCGTCTTCCTTGAAAAGACTTTCGCCTTTCTTCATGATTATCAATGAGTTTATTACGAATTCCTATAGAGCCACTTATTTGTTGTCTGCGACTTAATCGAGTCCCTGCATCAGTAGGTTCATTACTAATTAAACTAGAGGCTAACTGTCTCTGTTTTCTCATTTGTTCTAACTCCTGAAGCCTCTGAAGCCTTGTTGCAGTTTCCGAGGAAGGCGGAGGCCACATATGAGTGGCAATTGAAGAATATGTACTTGCCATGGTAGTAATTTCCTATTTAAAAGTGTCAGAGTTTACAATCTTTAATCTTGTCAATGAACACCAAAATTATTCCCACATTTCACTTTAAATACCTGTACTTTACAAAAACACACACTGTAGACAGTTTCAACTTAAATAAATAAATGTCGGTAGTCATTTACCTTGAAAAATTCTCCACACATGAATGATTTGCCATTCACTTTTAACACTGAGTAATTTCCATATCATCACAGACAAACTAAATATGGTTCTATAGAAAATATCTCATCCATTGCGATAATATTGACGTTTATCAATGTAACATCATTTGCACACTTATGCATATTTTGATTAAAACACTGCATGTATAATAAATGTCTTCAGTTTAATCAATACTGTTCCTTATACAATGTACTACACAGGTATTTTCAATTTTGGGATATTTTTGCACCAGTTGTCAGTAGTATAACCTTTTACCTTTTGACAATCCTGTAAATTGTTTACTGACACAATAAAATATAGGTTTCAAAAACATGATCACTACCTAAGTGCTTACATAATGTCCAAAGATTTTAAACCTTCAACCAAGCGTTTCACCTTTAAGGCATTTAAGCTTATTCATGAGGAAAATTTTACTACTTAATAAATTTAAAAAAAAACAGTACATGTTATTCGGAAAAAGAAAGACTTCACAATTCAGTGCACAATTATTGATAAAATATATTATGCAAGATGTTGCTAGTAGCAGCATTTCATTAACTATGTTTAATCAATTTTTATATCAACAATCTACAATGGGAATGCATTTTATAAAATCTAGCTTTTTCCAATAATGATTTATACTTGTATGTAATTATTCTTTTGAATTTCAACTAGTATTTTCATCTTATCATATAAGCAGAATTTCACATCTTAAATCTCACATGAGTCTGTATCCCAAACCTATCTTCAGCAAGTAACCGTAAAGGAGAGGCGAAAGATACCAAAGGGATAATCAAACTCATGAGACGAAAACGACCTGACAATTCCATGGCAACAAAAGAAAAACAACTAAAAGACATACAGTACACAAAATATACAAGATCTCAGGTGAACCAGAAGGGAAAGAAGATACTGCTCCACATGTGGCATCGATGTGTTGCTCATGTAAGTACAAACCCTGTGATAAGTCTACTTTGGTCACATTCGAGGAAAAAGAGGACAGGATTGTGGTTAAGACAAACTTGATGCCGTCTGTAAAATTTGTGAAGGGATGATTTCAACTTCACCACTTGGAACTCTTGGTTTAAAAGCATCCTAATGTAAGCAGCAAACCTCTATCAAGGAAATCATGATAGAAAATGCAAGCTCTGGAATATTATAGTATCATCTGGGAGATATATACTCAATATGCAGGTGCTGCTGAAATGTTGCTACATAGAAATGGAAAGTTTAGAATTGGGAAGCTGAAGTCATGTCTTTCTCAACTGAGAAATCAATCATTTACTCAGCTATTAACAATAACATATCTGTAGACTGAATGCACCTTGTCATTTTTGCAGATGGCTGGTATCTGATAGCCTACCCTACTATGGATTTGTATAAGTGTGGGGTGAACAATTGTTTTGTTAGTTTCAGTGTTCAAAACTGTAAATTTGCTGACAATTTATATCAAATGATGGAAAACAAGAACTTTACATGGATTTTAGTCTACCTATTGCTGTTTTGATCTAGTGACCTCAAAATCAATAAGAGTCTCTTTCAGCCTAAGGAACCTTTTCTACCAAATATTGGTAAAGATCTGAGGCATAGATAAAAAGATTTTGGAAATGTGACTTTGACCCAAAAACTAATACATGTATAAGTCTTTTTCTTTCTGAATTGAGTACAAAAGATATCATCTGGAACCAAAATGTTGGCCTAAGTTCTTGTTTACCAATTGCTGCTGTGAAATTGACCTTTGACCTTGTGATCTGTATTTAAAAGGATATTCTTTACCTATAGCACATTATTAATCCAAGACTCCACTTAGTTCCAGACACATTCATGATATTATACAACCAAGTGTGACTATACTTAACAACTCTGGTAATAAACTATTATACACTCTTCGTGTTTTTGAATGCATCCTTAGTTATTCTTCTAATAGAGATATGGGGATGGGGAGATTCTGTACTGAAAAAAACAGTTAAATTCTACCACATGCTAAAGTGCAAGTCCCAAGTCTGGTACCTACTATCTTTGTACATATAGTCATGTTTCTGTATTTTAAAGAATCGTTGTTGTCTTCATGTCAGATCTTTGGTAGTCCATGTTGAATTTATTAAACAACTTGTTGATCAGGGACTAAAGTTGACTTAAAGCTTGTCATCTAATACAGACAACAGTCTATCACTAAAGACAGTATATTGACAGTTTCTAGTTTTCATTCAATTTCTTCTTTGTAATTTAAGACAATTTTCAAGTTCTTGAATTTCTAGTGTGTTTTTTTTTTTTCATTATCCCCCCTTTTTTCCAAGAGAATGAATAGGGTTCAAAACCCTTTCTACAATAATTCAAATTAGAAGTTGTCTGTAATCACACATACATTACTGTCTGACCCCAATTGGCCTCTAGCATATGCATGCATCATACAGATGTTTATGTGGCATTCAACGTATAAAATATTATTTTACACTTGATGTACTAACATGTAACAAACATGTTTGGTTTTTATCTAACATAGTATGTGTAGGAGGTTAGGGATAGGTATAAAAGAACTGACTTAGTATAAAACCAAATCTAATATGAATTCAAATTTTTAAACTATTCAAATAATTTTGATATCTTAGCATTTTTTAATCTCCCACATATTCAAATTTTGAGGGGAATAAATCCATGAGCTTATCCAATGATGATCAATTGAATAGAAGCTCATTTCCAGACATGGTTACTTGCTTTCTCACAATGTGTTTTGCTCAATCAAAAACCAATTAAAAGAAAAAGGAAAAACTTATAATCAATACTGTAAAATAATATGAAATAGCTTTTACCAACAAGATCTTTGGACATTGTTCCTACAGGCCATTGTGTTCAACTTAGTAGGTATGGTTTCTGTTCATAATTCAAAATTTATGAACATTGTACTGCGGTTTCACTGAAAGGGATTTCGTTTGAAGTACAAAATAATATATATCAAACTAAACAGTCCATTGGTTTTCAAAATAATATGTCCAAATATTTGATTTGGTTTTCAGCATTAATGTCACTTGGCCCTTTATTCATATTTCAAAACAATTATATTTGAATCTAGGTTTCAAAACAAGTTCAATTTCATGGATTTATTATTTTCTTTGGCAGTCTATGGGTATTCAGTCTATGATCAAATAATAAACCATTACAGTTTGTATTTCTGTTTGAACAGAATTATACAATAGCTTTATTAAATTTTTTAATGAGGGTTAAATCATACAAGACAATATGATATCCTTACAAGGCATTTAATATTGCAGGTTTGATAGTTGACTCTAAACTATAATTGGTTTTAAATTTAACTATACAGTGACAACTAACTTAAATAGACTACTTTTGTGCATTGGTTTCTGATACACAAAAATAAAAAAAATAAACACTACCTTGTTAGGTATTATGATTCAATTTTTGACTAACCTTCATCCCAGTATCCTACCCAAGAATCATCATCAAAAGATGAACTGCACTGACTTGCCATGTTAGATATCTATATCACTGAACAATGTCATTCAAAAATTAAAATGATTTAGTAAATAGAAAATGTACTTTGGTATATAACTACAATCCTTAATGTAAAATAAAAACAATGCTTTAGATCTTGACCCAAAACTTTTGATCTTGTTTAAAAGTTAATATTTTCATATGTTTCTGTAGGCCAATTTCACCTGATACAACATATATGTATTTCTGATTATGATACACATGAAAGAACATCACAGGTATATGCATGACTGTATACAAATTTAATAATTTTTCAATAAAAATAAATTTTAACTTATATTTCAATAAACAAAAATGTTAACTAAAAATTTAAATACTATCTGATTTTCATATTTTCCTGATTTAAATTGACAAGAAACTCCTTGACAGCAGTGATATATCATTCCTAATTTGGTAAAAAGCAAAATTACTCAAGATTTTTTATTTTTTAAATATACGAATGAGGAACATAACCTATAAAAGACATAACTGTAAAAGCAGAGCATACTCCAAATAATTTTGATTGATTGATTGATTGTTGGTTGCTTTTTAACACCCAGTGGCAAATATTTCATGCATGTTCAGGGTGAGAATACATCAACAATAAATACAACAAGCATTCTGAGAGTATTGCATGACAATACATAGTCCCCTACCAGTTAAAAATTAATTGTACTGGAACAAAATGCTAACTTGATCTATAACTTGTCATGGTGTAAACTATATAACAAATATCAAGTCAATATCTTCAAGAATGACGAAAAAAGTGCGGAAAACTGATTATCTTTAGGGAATTTTCTAAGTCCAAGGACCATAACTCTGCACAAAATCATCAGACCGGAACAAAATTTGAACTTGATCTGTAACTTGTCATGATAAAACAATGTACCAATTATTACATCAATATCTTCAAGCATGACGAAAAAAAGTGTGGAAAACTGAATATTTGAGTGAATTTTCTAAGTCCAAGGACCATAACTCTGCACAAAATTATCAGACCAAAACAAAATTCGAACTTCATCTGTAACTTGTCATGATAAAACAATATACCAAAAATCAAATCAATATCTTCAAGCACGAAGAAAAAAAGTGTGGAAAACTGATTTGCCGGACTGACGGACTGACGGACGGACGGACAGACAGACAGACTTCGTCAGTAGGGGACTAATAAGTAGGTCCTGTAATAAAGGCCTTGCTTCAGCTTGATAATTCTTTTGATATCTGTTTTTTTTTCCATATAATCATAAAGATGTACAAACATGGAAACCTATCAGTTTTTTACCAAAACAATATAGTCAGTGTCTGCACATGGTCATCTGCTGGTATGTAAGTTAACCATGTGTACAATATAATGATACTTTAAACCAAATAAAGGTAACCTTCAGTATATTAACTGGAAGGCTGACCTTACCAGAACAAATAAACCATAATAATAAAGCCAAGGCAAAGTAACATTTAAAATGAGGCAAGGATCAGGTCGTCAGTCTGACACATATATTCTTCGGTCTCACTTATTAGCAACAAGAAACGACAAGAAGCGTCAAGAAGCGTCAAGAAGCGACAAGAAGAAAAATATTAGCGACAAGAAGAAAAAATAAGCGACAAGAAAGTTCATTTACTATTAAAACAATAGATTTACAGAAAATAATCATCTGATTATACTAAGGGTCTATAAAAAATAGAAAATGGCAATTAAAAATTAAAAAAAATAAAGAAATTACCCCCCCCCCCCCCCCCCTTTTTTTAATCCAAACACACATGTATACCTTTTGATTTTTAACTATGATTAATAATGTAAATATTTGAACCTTTTATCCTGTTTATAAAGAAAAAATTGTGTCGTGTATTTATATATATATATATATTATCATAATCATACTGATGAAGGATATCTGTTATCCGAAATATTTATAAATAATTCACTTATAGTTTTCTTTTTTTGTTATTGGTGTTGTTTTGTTCACTTTTCAGGCGATTATATAATTTATTTATTGTGTACATGTATCGTTGCTCTCATAACGATCCAGCGCCCACGTGGGAAATATCGTTGACTATTATTCAGACGTTTTTTATATATATATATATATATATATATATAAACAAGTCTAAATTGAAAACAATATATATATTGACCTTTTTGAGAAATAAATCCTTGATAATGAAAAAAAAGTTTATTCTCTTGTTTCTTGTACATTAAAAAAAGACAATTTGATGTATGTTTCAATATTTATTTATTTTCATGTAAAATAATTAATATTAAGATTTTTGTATGCTAAATTTGTCTTCTTGTCGCTTAATTATTCTTCTTGTCGCTAATTGTTTTCTTCTTGTCGCTTCTTGACGCTTCTTGTCACTTCTTGTCGCTAATTGGTGAGACCCATATTCTTTAACAAATTTTTGAATAAAATATACTTGACACACATGTATTTCTTTCAATAGCTGAGAAACTAATTTATCTTTGATAATCTAAAACAAATAGTTGGATTCAGTAAAATCATACCATGAATAAAAAAGTTTACATGTAGTTATCATTATATGCAGTCGATAGTCAATCTAGGCCTTGTGTGGGTTAAGTGTACATAAAACTAGATATTCAAAACATGAATTTTATTATGAATATTTATAGAAGAAACATCTGTTGAATAATGTAATGTTTAAGTTAAACTTGTTACATGTACACCTTGTGGACAGTTAAACTGCCTATTTTTAAAAAGGTTGTAATAGTCTGATTTGTATGTTCTGTCAAACTTTTGTATATAAAACCTTAAGAGCATTGGCTGTTTTGCTATATTTAGTTCAAATCTACCACGGATGATTTATGAAAGAATTTTAATAAACTTTAACAGACAGTGGGATTGAAAAATAAATGAAGAATGTGTCCCCATGGACACAGATGGGACACAGATGATGCCCCAGTTTGCATACAACATTATAAAGGGACATAACTCAAGAACAATAAAAGTGACGCTACCCAAATTTGTACTTGATCTGAGATTTAAGGTTATAAGTATTGTGTATAGGTTTCATAATGTTTAGTTGGGGCAAACTTAAGTTACAGAACGGAAACTAAAATTTTTGCAATTTTTCGATTTATAAAGGGGCATAACTCGATAATGATTAAAGTGATGCTACCAAAATTCAACTTGATCTGTGTTTTGTGGTAAAAAGCATTGTGTATAAGTTTCATAACATTTGGTTGAGGCAACTTAAGTTAGAGAACGGAAACAAAATATTTTGCAATTTTTCCATTTATAAAGGGGCATAACTCTAGAACGGTTAAAGTGATGCTACCAAAATTCAAACTTGATCTGTATTTTGGTGGTAATCAGCATTGTGTATAAGTTTCATAACATTTGGTTGAGGCAAACTTAAGTTAGAGAATGGAAACTAAAAATTTTGCAATTTTTCCATTTATAAAGGGGCATAACACTAGAACAGTTAGAGTGACGCTACCAAAATTAAATCTTGATCTGTGTTTTGTGGTAATTAGCATTGTGTATCAGTTTCATAACATTTGGTTCAGGCAAACTCAGGTTAGAGAACGGAAACCAATTTTGGGACGTACGGACGTACGTACGTACAGACGGACAAGGGAAAACTTAATGCGCCCTCGGCTACAGCGGGGGCATAAAAAAATCACACTTTATCATGATTTTGCAAAGAATTGCAGCATGGGAAAACTTTACTACAGTGCAAAATAATAGTATAATGTTCACTCCATCCTCATATGGATTTTCAACCTTGAAATAAATCGGTCCATTAAACTCTTAAAATAAACAACTTATTGTTGAGTTTTCACTTCAGTGTATGTAATGTAGATTTAAATTACTTTTAGTTTACTTGTCTGAACAATTCTCATGTACAGGTAATTAAAACCGATGTTTATAATATGAATCTAATTATAAACAGGTTTACATTACCCAAACGTATGAACGTAGCCTAAGTCTATGGACAATGTGTGGATGGGATTATAATCTCCATAGAAATGAGATGTGCCAGTTATACATCCGCGTACTAAATACCATTGACTTAATATTCAATGTATTAGTGGTTCCTCTTAAAATCACTTTAATCTGGGAGAATCTGATTTATCCATTAGTTTTTATTGGCTTTGAACTAACTTTCTGAGTTTCAGTAACATTCAGTATTTTGTGTCTTTTATCTCTATGTGCTTGTCCTATGTCAGGAGCCAATAATTGAGTAGTTGCTGTTGGTTGCTGTCTCATATTCATTTTTCATTTATTGTTTTGTCATAACATAACAGGCTGTTCATGTTTTTTTTTTATTGTTTCACATTTTTTTGTGTTTATGGCTTTTTATAGCTGACTGTATGGTATGTGCTCTGCTCAAATGGGAAGGTCGTACAGTGACCATTAGCTGCTTTAATCCAAGTTATTTTTCCTCGTGAATAGTTGTCTCATTGGCAATCATTCCACATCTCCTTATTTCATATTAATCACAAAATTTTTAAATTGTTGACGTTGCTGAATCAGCATGCCTGAATCTTGCTTCCCTGATTTCAACACTGGCCACAAAAATATTGAAAAATCCATGAAACTGACCATAAGAACATGAGACATAGTTATATGTCATAGCAACCAGCACTACATACATAGCATAAACTGTGTCCCTATTATCAAGTTACGAACTTAGATATATACAGCTTTGTAATATTTGTTTCAGGAATTTTGTCATCAGATTAGCATGACAGTGTCTTCAAAAAAATTCATCACAAATGAGATGTTAGTTGTGTGTGAATGACCTCAATGGAAATTTGGGGGCAGGGACTGGAAAAGAATTGTTTGCTGAGCAATTATAACTAGAGGCTTACAGGAGCCTGAATTCTCAACTGAATTTATTTTGCCCAAATAGCAAAACATAGACATTTCTTAAGAACTAAAGTACTATCATATGGAACATATCTGGAAAGTTTTTTTTCATTTGGTACAGTAGTTTTTGGGAATGAGATCTTTAAAAATCATACCAATGGACCCCTTTTTGGTCTCTTGAAGTCATATTGGACTTTTCATCTGAACCAAAATAACAACACTTGGCAAGGACCTTCAATTTCTGCATGGTTAATTTTTCATTTACCTTCATCTGTTCTTAAAAAAAAAAGGCAAGATGACTTTTCCCATACAGTTTCAAAGTTAACTTTGAACTCAGCTTCCTGCAATTTTGAATTTCCTAACAGTATCAAAGTACAAATACTTGTTAAAGACATTCACAGTAACATATCAATTAAGTTTGGTTTCAATTGGTTCAAATATTCGTGAGAAGTTTTCAACAGCCAAAGAGAAATTAGAAAAGTCCAGAGTGGCCATGTTTGTTGACAATTTACCTTGTGAGAAACATATATGCCAGGTTTGGATTCATTCTGTTCAGTGGTGTTCAAGGAGAAGATGAAATGTGAAAATGGGATGACGGACACAAGATGGCAAATTAGCTTCGACCAGGTAAGCTAATAAATAAGGTGAAAATCCATATAAAATAAACAAGCCTGAGACAAAAAAATGACAAACACATGTATGTCCATGTTCAAACAACTTATAAAATGACAACTAAAGTTTGGTGATATATCAAGTGCTGTGGAAGGATACTCTATCTGCACTTTCTGAAATTCTTTTAACAAGATTATAGACACATTGGATTGCTGATTGGACAAGGAGCAAAATATTTGGAATAAGATCAAAATCAAATTAATAAGTTTATTACAAGTAGCAGAGTATAACTTTAAGGCTTAGTATGGCTTTTGTTGTGTACACAAATATTGTTTTTACAATAAAATTACATGAAATATAAGTTATCTACTGTTTAGAGATACTCAATAGTTATCAATTATGGACTTTTGACAAGGTCAATACGTTATATATGGACCTATTCAGATTATTTGACAGAGGACAAAGTCCACGGTTCAATAGAATCTAACATTGGTCCATATATAACCTATTGACTTAGTGAAAGTCCTTAATTTTTTTTACATATGTAAATCATGAGTGTAAGTTTGAAAATGATATTGACTCAATGTTACTATTTTTGTAAATGTTATTGAATCAATGTTACTATTTTAATAAGAGAGGCCTACTAAAAATATCTAGCTAATAGCAGTAATTTTTGCTATCAATATATACAAAAATTTCAATTTTGTCCCTCATTAATGGAAAATATGTTTTCCTTAAACTTTTAGCATTAGTAACATGTGAAAACATTTGACACAAAGATCCATTAATGTGATTGCTTTGCAAATGTCATAAAATTATGGTCAGCATTATTGATGTTCTAGAACTGAAGTATGTTATAATAAATGTTGGTTGCATTAATGATATAGTGTCTACCATTTCAGCAGAATATGTCAATAATATGGCGTTTGTAAGGTTCTTAAATGTGGGTGGACTTTGAAAAGTGCAAGTAATTTTGTCTGTCACCAAAAAGGGCATTTATAATGCAGGGTAAGAAATCCACCCTTTAAACAGGTGTCCAATAAATTAATGCTTCCTTTAACCAATACCTGCTGCCATGGGGCATATTCACCCAACAGATGCTTTGGAGATATGAACAAAAGGAAATGTTGGATCAAATTCAATGAGTTAACAACCAAAAGAAATCTAGAGTTTCTTTTTACAATTATCACACTGTTTGTGCATCCAGCATGTGAATTGAATGTCCACACAATTCAAAATGAAGAAAGACAATTACATGTAGTTACAAAAACTTGAAAAAAAAGAAAAATAAATAAAAAATAAATGAGCATATCAAGGCAATTAACAATTATCAACTGACAACACATTAAAAATATAACATTTAGTTTTTACATTTAACATGACTGTTGTTTAGCTGAACATTCCTTGGCAATACCTCATTATCTGGACAGTGTATATAACCTTTATTAATAGTCATAATAACATGAAGTGAGCTTAACTTTTGACCTGTGAACTTGACATTAAAATCATTTATTTTCCCTCATTTGAGATCCACTGTATCATGTTTGGTTAGGACCTGATGCATGTTGTACCTCTATAATGCGCACACATATTTTCCATAATATTATGGTGATCTTTAATTCTGACCTCTAAATCCTGACTTTTACACTATCAAGGGTTCATCCCCTCTATACACTTACAAGTATAAAAGTAAGAAGATGTGGTTTAATAGCCAATAAGACAACTCTCAACCAGAGACCAAATGACATAGAAGTAAACAACTATAGGTCACTGCACAGCCTTCAACAATGAGCAAAACCCATACTGCACAGTCAGCTATAAAAGGCCCCGAAATGACAAATGTAAAACAATTCAAACGAGGCTTCTGACTTGGGACAGGCACATACAGATTGCGGCAGGGTTAAACATGTTAACCTGGGACAGTGGTGTAACAGTACAACATATGAACAAACTATAAAAATCGATTGAAAAGGGCTTAACTCATTAGATTGATACAAAGGTTTTTTTTAAACAATTAAAGTCATT